CATACTGGGAAACGAAAACTTCAGCTCTCTCGTGTGGTTGGCATACGAGATTACCAGAGGAATTACAGGTAGGGGAGAAGTTGGAAGGGCAGAAATTACGGGAAACTGCTTTGGCAAGAGACCACAATTTTCAGCTACCGGTGGCAGACGAGACCAAGTTTTCGGCTTTGCGGCGAACGAAGCGTTCTTTAGTTCTCTGAATGGTCGTCGAGCATCTGTTCCTAGCTAGCACGAAGCGATTGTGAGAAAGAGGAGTGAGTGAGCGGCGCCAACGGCGAAAGGCTGGGCGTTTAAAGCGTACAGCACGGTCACATGCATGATTAAACCACTCAGGGGATTTGGGTTTGCCGGGTTTGGAAAAGTGCGGAATAAAAAGATGCATTCCTTGGAGAACAATATCAGTGAAGATAGTAACGGATTTGGAAACAATAGAAGAGAAGCAACAATCGTTCCAAGGATGAGCAGCTAGGAAATCACGGAAACCATCCCAGTTGGCTGCGTTGTAGCGCCAGAATGTGTGTCTCGAGGTGGGTGGTGGCTTGAAGACCTAATAGACCATGAAACAATACAGTGGTCTGATGAGCCAAGAGGATGGAGGGTACGAATATATGAGAGGAAAGAAGGGACCGAACTGAGAATTAGATCGATCAGCCATCTTGCCCGATTGAATGTAATAAAACTGTCAAATTGATTGATTTGGAGCTCACAGTGGGCCTTTGTAGCCAAGGGAATAGGCTTGGGATAATTTGACTGCGACATCGAGCCTGGCAGCCTGCAACAAGTACAATGGATCGTCCCTTGCGATCAGTGCTGTTTGGGTATAAGTCGTAACAGCTAGAATTTCGATTATAATTGGCTGTTCGAAGGAAACCTTGAAGGAGATAGAGATGTGTGTTTATGCACAGTTAAGCTGGGACCTTCTTACTTCCAAGCAACTGGGCAACTGGCCTCGATCATTGGGGTAAGAAATGTGAGTCACTATACGCTGAATACACAAATCATTTATTATGATCAGGCTTTGCGTGTGGACGTGAATCCTTGAATAGTCTGTCACGGCCTCTCTCTGCTTTGCTCTACCACTTAGCTCACAGATAAGAACGGGGTTTTCAACTTTTGCGCCGTGGGTTTGCTAAACACCATCATCAGCTTGGCATTCCGGTTCAGATCATCTAGATGACCGGACTAGCAATACTGAGGTCAGGCGCAAAGTTTTAGGCAATCGCGGTCGCCCACTGGGACAAGTGGTCGACCTCCATAGATTACGTTGGTTGGGGCATGTGTTACGCATGTCACCAGATAGTTTGCCACGGCGAGCGATATTTTCCGAGACTGGTAGTGGGTGAAATAAAGCCAAGGGTGTTCAAGCTAAGACCTGGCATGATGCTATGAAAACCCTAACCAGGAGTCCGGGTCACGTAGGTCCCGTTAGACTCCCTGGCTGGGAACCTCGGGGTGATCGTACCCGATGGTTAGGCATACTGAGCGATATGGCTGCGTTTCGTAAACAGTGGCGTTCGCCTATTTTCTCGATTTCTCTGCATTATTAGTCCACTGNCTGAACTTCTCAATTTTCCTTTCGGTCCTACTTTCAACCTTCTTGTTTTCCTCCTATTGGTCACCCAAATGGGCAGCCGAAAAAAAAAATCAAAAGTGTCGCACGGAAATGCATGCCTAATGGTTGGTTGAACTAAAACTGAAAGTGATCTAGATGGCTTATAGCGTTAAGATGCTTCGTTCATAGTCAGTACCGCACTTGATGTCAAGTTTTTGCAATCCGGCCGGATCGGTGAATTCAGAAGCCGCTTTCCATTTTTGTGAACTGTATGAAAGGGATTTGATGTTCCCAATGCATCGGTTCGAAGATGGCGTAAAGCGCGTTATGCTGCAATCATGTGAACACTGTTCAGTGCTACTGAAAGAACTGTTCGGCGTCGCAGCTTTGATTTTGTTTAAAGTAAAACAATTTCATAATGTGAACCTATTGTTGTCCAACCTTTTCTGTAGCTTTTGTTAGAGTTGACCATATATATTCCAAAAAAATTACAACATGGTGTGTTTCTAGTTTCAATCGTTTTAAAAGTCGTTTCCTCTTGCTGTGATAACTGACCAATATTTACCGNAGATTTTTATTCCGATTTTAATGAAGCGCTATTTCGTTGATTTGACCGACCAGGTACTGTCGAGACAGATGGCGGCGGGTTAAAGTTTTTTTCCGCAACAATCCTGTTAGCTTTCGGCTTCTCAACCAAAACGGTGAAAAGTGATTAATTTTCACAAAAATACTGTATCCTGAATCTGTGTATATTAGGAATGTTAGCAGTTCACTGTGACTGCTAGGACGTTTTACTGTACACCGGCTTCGAAAGAGCATGTCACCAATGCAACACNTAACTGTTCTTTCACGTACATTGGCGACCCCTTCTCTTTCAATCTTCACCTGCAGAGCTCCACGCGTATCAACGACCAACGAAGCAATCTTCCCGACCCTCTTTCACGTGCTAATACTTGGGACGAGTCTTGTGCATCGTCCGCCTCCGTTGTCAATCGCTCGGGATCCGAAACCACTCGTTTCTCCCTGCCCAGTTCTCTTGCAGCATTATCTCTAAGTGGGCGTAGCAACAACGGGGATAGTGGATCTAGTACCATGACTGTAACTTCTGTGGGTACAGCCGCTGGTGCAGGAGGTGGTGCCGGATCATTCAATCGCCCAAATGCTCCAACCGTTCCCGACGAGGATTTCTTTGCTCTCATCCAGCGAGTTCAGTCCACCAGGCTGGATGAGCAACGCTGTAATCCACCGCCTGCTGTGGCTTTGTCCCGTGTGTCCGTCCATTCAAATCAGTTGCCCGATTCCACCACTGTACAAAGTTGCTCTTCACCCACACTCTCTGCATCCTCTACCGCGGCATGCGGGGCTCCCGCGACTCTGCACAAATCATCGAGCCATTCCTCCACTTCGCGTCGCCGTAGGGGCAGTTGGCGCCGTCTCTCATCAAATGCAAACCGGTAGTTCCATCTTCATGTCTATCACTGTTACTGCTTCGGGACTGACTGTCTCTGTGTATCTTGGTTTGTCCAGTCAATATGTGCGCAGTTCTGTATCGAAAATGGTTTCTTCCTGTCATCATTTGATTTCCATCAATAACAATGATATGCATGCCTTCTCAATGGAGGCCTTATAAGTAGCTATCACACACACACAGACGCACTTCAATCACATTATCCTCATGAGGGCATATTTATTTCTGTGCTTCCTAGGGTTTGTGCTTATAAGGACGTGTACGTAATTAATCGAGAATTCAATTGTTTTGATCCATCTCTCGCGTCTCCTCTCCCGGTTCAAACTGATCAGCTGAGCTGCTGAGTTTCCTACCAGGCTGTTCCCTTATCAGATGTCCTGAGCGGTCTGAGCCCATGAATGTGCTCGCTTCGTCAATATTGCTGATTTCTCTCTGCATGTTCCACCTCCTCCAACATCCTTTCTTCCGCTTATTCTTCATGTTTCAGTTTTGTTTTGGATACATGAAAGAATGGTTGACTTAATGTCCTCGATTCCCCCTCTGTTTTCTCCTACTTTTTCCGTTGGACGATTTTGGTTGATGGATATCTACGCCGATGCGATTAGAAACCATTCGTCCATTTATTCATTGCTCCTTTATTCATCACACTGTCATCCGAACTCTCGTTAAGTATTCTCCAACCCTTCCTGCCTGCCTCTCTTTTTTCAGACAACTAGCGATTAGTGAAGTACACTTCACTGTATTTCTCTGTGCAATGATGTTGATGTTGAGACAATCATCTCAGATTTCGAATCTGGCCCTGTTCATGTTGTTGATGCTAAGCAGAGCGAAAGATTCTGTTCCCCAGATATACACTCAGTTCGTGTGTGCATGTGTATTTCTGCCTGGTATCGGTTGGTTAATGGGAGAAGTGACCTTAATAGAAACAGATCTGGAAAAAATGCGATTTATTTTATTGTGCACACAGACTCAAGTGAGGAAACTAGGCTGAGTGGTACCAAACCGGTCTTCACCGATGAATTCCAGTGGCGTTGTATCACCCATTCGACATGGATTGCCTACACTTTCAAATATGCTGCTCTACGGCGCAGAGATTTTGCTACTAGGAAAACAGGACCGTCGGCGTTTGAACACCGCTTTCTACATCATATTGCACGAATCTGGTGGAACAGCGCAGAGTATTAGGTATCCGCGGTCGCCTGTTGGGGCATGTGTTACGCATGTCACCAAATAGATTGCCTCTGTGCGCGATGTTTGCCCTAGCATGTGATCGGAAAAAAGTAAGAGATGATCAAACCCAGACCTGGCGTGAGGGCATGAAAACGCTGTCCAGAAGAATGACTCACAGGTTGAGTCTGGCTTCCTGGATGGATGGACCCGAAATTGTGGTAACCGGTGGCTAGAGACGCGGAGCGACGCAAACGGTGGCGCTCGTGGATCTACTAAATATTCTCCATCCGTACTCTATACGAATGCTCTATATTCCGTTTGAAGTTGCTCTCTACATTCCAGTCCTAATTTTGCTCTGTTATACAAATGGGCTGCCAAAAGACAGCAACCGAAACCGGTGCACGAAGGTGTAGGTTTTTTCTCTAATGAGGAAAGTGGTTTCGACCTTAAAAAAGCCGCACATCACTCACCCCACCGACTTCTTTTCTGAGGCATACCCCTCAGCGTCTCTAACCAAAGATACTCCTTATCCCTTGAACCCCCAACCTGGAGGGCGAGCCGATGCCTCTACGCTTGGTCGTGGTCTGATCACCATGGCGCTTCTTCCATCACTGGCAAAGAGAGCACGAAAAGGTAGACGAGGGGAGGTATGCAAAAATGGCACCGGGCGATGGGAAGCGATGCAGAGCGATTACTTCTCCTGGAAACGACTATCGCAGACCAGCGCAGGACGACGAATCTCTTCGTTGCTCACCGGATGCTTTGAAGACAGGAATTCAATAAGCATTCTCAACACGGGTAGGCACGTCTCGCAGCCACAAATCGGAATACTACAAACCACGGCGATGTACACCCTCCCCTTAATGAACAATGGGATGTCATTGCGACGCCACAGGTATCGCAGGTTGACAAAAGCTGCTTTAACTTTCGCTATTAGTGATGTGATTTTTTCCCAAGCAATATATACAGCTGTTATCTTCATCCCGAGGTATTTAAAGCATTCGATTACTGGCTGATCACCACAAAGGGCGAGTGCAGCCACAGGCTCATGTCAGTCTTGAACAAGCACTGTGCACTTGGATGAATCAAAGCATCTACCGGGATAAGAATAAGACAGACTCCATTGAAGAACAACTAACGACATTGCAGAAGAAAGTGCAAAGTGAGAACTATGTCACAACGACGGAATTTTGGAACCTCTAACCCCAAGGTTCGGTTATCCCACGTCTGTACGGTCTACCTAAAGTTGTCCTCGAAGACCGATACTTTCGATATCTGGTTCTCCGTAACATTCAATTACATCATGGCTTGTGTCTAAACTCAAACCCATCCGGAAGAAAATAGTGAAATTTAGCTTACGCGATACAGGCCAGCTCCTCGAAGTAGCCAAAAACCTGAACGTGAAAATAAAGTAATGCTCTCACCGGACGTGTCCTCACTTTTTATCAATGTGCCGCTGATTGAAACGATTGCTTATCTCTGTAATTACATAGCGCAAAACCAGATAAATACCGCGATTCCGATGTCAGATATGGAAGAACTGCTTTTGTGTTGCACAATGAACATTCGATTCTTATGAACACACGTACCACCAGGTCGATGGTGTGGTACTGGGTTCATCACTTGACCCTTTAAGAGCAGACACCTTTATGGCTAAGTTGGAAAACTGTAAGCTAAAAGACAAGATCTCCCAACTGGATACCTATTTTCGCTGCGTTGATGATATCTTTGCCATTAGCAATGCAACAACAAATGTTTCACAACTGTTCTTAACGTTCAGCAAAGTACATCAGTCGATACACTTTACACGAGGATGCATTCGTTTACCTCGATGTACTGCTTTCCCGAAATGCGGATGTAATCATTGAGAGGAGCGTGTATAGAAAGCAATACATAAACTTCCACAGTGCAGTACCGATCAAGCGGAAACGAAACCTCGCTCATTGTCCAGCCCACCCAGCGAGAATGATGTGTGCCAACGGAAAATTAACAATTGAATTAGAGCACTTTTCGACAGAATGGATACTCAGACAAGTTAATCGAGGAGCATGTGAAAACGAAACCGCAAAAGAGCTAACTCTACGCCGTCCCTAGGAAACGATTATTTAGCAGTTCGTCTTTTGTCAACGACGTTGTTAGTGAACTCTTCGAAAGGAGACTCTAGAGCAATAAAGCCCACATTTTATGCCGCTGAACTGAAAGTATTATACTCATCTCATCCGGCCATTGCTCAGACTTAAGGGTTGACTACCACAGTCCACCATTTCTGTGTCTATCAATTCACATGCTCCTGTGGAACCGGCTACATCGGTCGTACCAGTCGGCAGTTGACCAAACGAATTCAAGAGCATCATCCGGCCTGTTTCAGAAAAGGACTAGCTAAGGTCATTTCGAGCTCAATTTTGAAACATCTGAAGAACATGGGGTAAATGTCGAAAGGTCATCTACAGAACTCTGAAGAATCTGCCCAAACAACAGACGGACTATGCTTTGCACGGTTGAGGCGGTAGCTATTCGTATCCACCACCCCAAACTGTGCAAACAAAAGCGGATTGTTTAGATATTGAGTTTGCCATGGCCCGGCAACATAACTTAATTGGCCGTTGTTCAGATAAGCCAAATGATAACCGAAGGGTGGTGTTACGCAATCAGCCTACTCAAGTGATAACAACTCTGTAACTCCCACCCCGGTTTATTTTATGAATCATGACTTCATTGCTACCTTCTGATCGTATAATTATGTAGAGGCTTGGGAATGAATAATCGAAAAGAATTCTTGGCTTCATTGGTCTTTCCAAAGAATAGTAGGAAGATTTCAACAGATATCTATATACCCCTATCTCCGGAAAACGACTGGTTGTCATTGAAGACGAAATCTGAACTCACATGAAGTATTAATTCTGGTCATCTTGAATGTAAGTTCATCTCCAATGTTTGGAAACACACGTCCCTTTGCCACATGAATGATCTCGATTTCAAAGCCCAAACAAGAGAGTGGATACGCACTAACGATGAGATCAAAAGAAAGCGAAATTCGAGTTTGGTGTTTCCCGAGTGCGTCGTTAACTGGATTGACTGAGAATTGTTCGTAAAGAGTAAGTTTGAACAATTGTTTATCTAAGTCAATGAAGTGGATCGGTTATCTTGCCAATTTATGAGGAGATGGGCCGTTGCGTAGAAACCACAGAAAAATTTGTTTGAGTAACGTCCTCTCAAAGCTTCACTGTGGCATTTTACCAGTTTAATTTTATCTTGCCCATGAACGATGTGCATGTGGGAATCAGAATGAGTTTATGACCATGGTGAGAGTGCAGCGTCCAATATTTTAGCACTGGATAAGTTCTGCAATACCTTTTCCTTGGACTAGTCGCTGATCGCTATATATTGGGAAAGGAAAACAACAGGTCTGCGAGGATTTCGTGTGCAAATAACCTTTTTTATTGGAGGTGTTTTTATGAATCAGATGGCTTTCGGGTTTTTGTTCCTCTTGGAACAGATTAGGAAAATACAGTGGGTTTACGTAATTTGACGTTTTTACACAAAACGTTCGTATCCAGTGAACTAGCTCTGAAGTATGATTAGTTCGAACAGAATAACTAATAAAAAGCTATTCATTGATATCATGCAAATGTTCAGTCTGCACGTCACTGGATATTTTCTTTCCTTTAATCTTATCTACGGCATAGGCTTAGGCGAAATTTGTCTGAGATCAAGCCTGCCGAAAGGATTCTTATATATGCCGTCTCCGTTAATCCTTGAATAATCATGATATGACCCTAAGTTGACCTAGTCGTTAATTTTCTCCCCGGGAAAAATGATA